TCTTCAGGATTATTTCGTTTTAAAATCTTACAAAGGATCTTCTCTGCTTCTAGAAGGTATTGTTACAAGTTATGAGGTCGTCAAGGTGTCATCATGCCACATTTCAAGAAGGGATTTGGACTAACACTCAGGAGTAATTCTAATTCTCTCTATTTTTGATAAAATGAAATATCTGCTGTTTTTTTCTCTTTTGTCTACCTAACGTGTATTCCATGAAATTGAATCTTCTTTGATCAAATTGTGAACAAGCGTTTGATCAGTCTTCGAGGCGACAGACGCAAGGTTTTCTTTTCTACTGGGTGTTTAAAGAAATATAATTATAATTTGATTGGATTAAGGCCGTTTGAGTTATTAGATTTGGCATATGACCTGTAAAAACTATTTTGTTAACGTTAAGCTTTTAACTGCACTTGAAATAAGCCATGCGTTTCTGTTCCTTGTCTTGCATTTCAAGATGGAATGTTTTCTTTCACTTTTCTTTCCTTGTAGGCTCAAAGCTCTGACGAATGAAACTTCAGAAGCTTTTTTAGTTACTCGAACTGCTGGTAAGATAAAGATGCAAACTAATGACCACTGACGCCAATAAAAAAAACAATATTTACAGAATTTTTTTCATCCAAAATTTTCTAACGCAATAGTCTCATTTTAATGAGCATAGGTTGATTGTGAGCCAATGACTGAGGAACGATATGGTGGTTAGGGCATTTTAAGACCAAACCAGCTAGGAACATTCTTATCCAAAAGATTCCCTCACTTTTTAAAGGCAGCTTGAGCTACAGGTTTTTCGGAGTCCAAATTATGATGGTTCACTGATCAATTTCCCCATGGAAAAATTTGTATAGCTTTATGCGAATGCTCTCTTGTCTTAACCTTGCTTTTTCACTTGCCTTTCAAAGGAAATGTTTCTAAAATAAGTAGCGAATTTCCATTTCCAAATTTGGGTAAAGTTTTGCGATGTTTTAGAGCACTAGAAAGGTGGTTAAGGTAGAAAACTGTTCTCAAACTGCTAGACGCGTGCAGTTATTATGAAATTTTTTCTCTATATTCCCTGTCAACAAACATGTACTTACCCAACAGAAAGAGCCAAGGGCAGAGACAGTGGTCCAATCTCTTCATCTGACATAGAAATAGACCCATGATTGTCCAAAACCCTGGGGTGCTGCAGAAAACGTATCGGAAACTCAATAAATGTTTCAGTGCTTACCGCAAAATCTTTTTGATCGAAATCTCCAGTGGTTGACGTCACCCGTTTTGAATAATAAAACTCCCCTTTCTAAGCAATTCACTGTATTGAAGAAATATTGCAAAGAAGCTTAGTTAGCTCAGTAAGGGCCTCATTGGGGATTTTAAGCGATGAAACAGAGTAAACATAAATATTCAGCCAACATAAACACGAAAGAGTTCGGAGACGTAATCTCGTTTGTATAAAACTTCCATAATAAATTGTACAATGTGTTTGAAGTAAGATTTGGGTTTTCCGTGAGGAGTAGAAGTCAAGCAAGACGACTGATTTTAAGCTGAAATGGTCCATCGACCCTCCGCAGAGAATTAGCCAAATGTTGAGTTCACAAGTCCCGCCTATTTATAAAAGAGCAATGGATGAGCATGATTCTCTTCTTAAAATATCCACTATGCAATTCGTGAAACTCGAAGTTTTTCAACATGAAATAATTAAGTAATTACGAACATGCACCTTGTTAGTCAGAAACCTATCGTTTATTGCACCGGTAAACCCACTGAAAATTAAAACATTCTAAGTTTGTTTTCTACCGACTCGTGATTTACAAACTTTCTTCGCGTTCTTCCAAGATCCCGAGAAGGTTATTACGCTCAGCCTGGTAACCTGATAAAAAGCGGTCCATTGCCCAATTAATATCCTTTTTGATCTGTCATACATTTAAAATACATTCCACTTTTCCATTCATGTCTTTATCCCTTTTGTGTTTATGTCTGTGTGTGTGTTTTTTTCCCTCAGAAATGTTTTCGGCAATTTTTTTAGTGATCGAAACATCTCGACATATCGTGAAGTAATCTCTATTAGACTTCCTGACTTGTTACGCTTTATATGCCCGCAAACACACATCACAAACAGCATTACGGCACAGGAAATTTCATTTTCAATAATTTTTTAATATTTTTTAACACTATTAGAGAAGGGTGGCCTGAAAAGAACCGTGCCTAAGGCGATTTAATTGTTCAGTGCTGGTGGTTTGAGCATTGATCTAATTTTATTCGTGGTATTTTCTCGATTAGCACGCAAATGATTTTCTTGTGTTTCGTCTTCCTTATTCATATCAGATCCGAAAAGCTTCGATTTTGGCCTCTGAGGGTAAAAGCTACATGTTAAATTCCTAATAACCCTGTCTATTTAACACCGAAAAAGTCAAGATATAATTCTGCACTGATAATCAGCAAGTCATTAATTCTGGAAAACCCCGCTGTGGGTTCAACTTCAACACGAGGAAGTTAATATACTTTTCGAGTAAAAGGCCATGCCGCCTACTCTAGAAGTCAATGAGTCATTGCTGATTAATTCCTGGTTGACAGTCTCCTCCGCTGCATTGATTGTTTTGTTTTTTAATCTACGTGTTGTACGCGAAAAAAAAACGAAAAAAAAAAAGTAAATAAGCAAAAGTTGTAGCGTGAAAGATTTACTCACGGCTTTTCATGGAAAGACTTTTACATGGCATGCTTCCAGCATTGTGCTACAACTCAGATCAGCGTTAAGTTGATATAAAATAAGCTGAATCACGCCTGCATTATGATACGTTCTGACTTACGATCTATGGGAGGACAGACAAATAGATGGCTTCATCATATAACCGTTTTTTGCTATTTTATTCTACAAAATAAATATATCGTCTATATTCCATATTACCGTGGGTCTGTACAGCAACAGATCACGAAGACGTCAAAAATGTGGTGAGAACGTCATTGACACACTCGACTGCGCTTCATACGCCACTTTTCTGTTCTAACCACACGTTGCCGCACATCATCTGCAATCTAGGAACCCTTTAGCCCCTATTAAAGAGTGATTAGCATCTAATTTCTCCTTAGTATATCACCCCTGAATCAAACATGAAAGTTGTGAGAATAGAGGAGATGACTACCAACTTAAGCAGCTCTTGACTGTTACACAAATTCTCTCTGTCAGCCTCTTTGAAAATGTATAGAGAACAGTATGGAGAATATACATACTGATGTTAGCGGGTAAAGTGTTAATAAGCAGACGTACAGCAGCATAAAATCTATTTTTTAAATTGATACTAAAGTGATGAACAACGCAGACGTTTGTGAGAAAGGATAATCGGTATCGTTTATTGAAAAGTTGCAGTTTGAAACGGTCTATAAATAGGTTTTTGATCTTGCTAAATGACTAAGACAATGAAAGATCATAAACAGTTTAGTAACAACATACAAGTAGTCCCGATAAACTCTTTAACTCCCGTGAGTGACCAAGAAAGAATTTCTCCTCTCAATATCATTACAGTAGAAAAGTGATGAGATTAAAGAAAAATATCAATTATGGAATTACTCATTGATCCAATACCAAATTCTCCAAACTAACATAATGAGAATCTTTTGGCAAACAGTAGGGAGAATTACTAATGAATCTTGGGAGTTAAAAGGTTAATGCACAATACATTAGACGATTCAGTTTGAACAGTTACAACTTACGCGCAAAAGAAATGATATATTTTACTTTTAACAGTTTTATGTTTCAGCTGAGTGATCGTTATTTCTTCATAAGCCAAATCTCTTTCTTTTCCCACCTATACAAATATTTTCTGTTCTCCGAAGCTCAAACGGAGAGATCCAAACTGATTTCGCAAAAAGGCTTTTCTGAGTCAGCTATTTTTGGAGAAAGTTGCCTTCATCTTTCTTCGTTCCCCAATTTTCGAGGGACTGGATATTTGTTTGAGAGAAGATACGCTGTAATGGCGGGTCTCGCCACGTGTCTGCAGGTAGAACTCTCAAGACTTTCTCTTTTTTTGCAGGTTTTTGTCACAGTTATTTGGGACCGACCAGTTCGGTGTTGTTACATTTATCATTCAAGGAGTGAACTTGGAGGAATATCTCAACATCAAACTCATGTTACCCGATCTGCGTCGTTGTGGCCCTCATATAGGTAACAACGTTCTCTACAACTCGAGCCTTACCATCGAAAACCATTTGTTTTTTATGTGCAGGTGACATATTTACTCCGTGTTATCAAATGCTTTAAATAATTATGTACTCTGAAAGTTTTTCTTTCGCCGCTTGACTTATGTGTGTCTGAATATTGTACGCTTCCTCTGTTTTAGACACAAATATAAACAAAGACACGCGGATGGGTGATGTAAAGGCAAGCTGGGAGATTTGAAGAAAATACAGCGTTTTCAGACGCCCTGGTAATCTTCCATTCTATATGTTACGGTTAGTGGCATCATATAATTTTATTCTGCCATACGTCTCTATATAGACGGTTTAATTCCAAGACTAGGAGTCCGAAAATATAAACTTCATTTCCATTAATGCTGCTTCTGAGCTCTTGGAATTTTTTTTTGTATGGAAATGAATAACGTGAGTTATTGTACGCTACTTGTGTAACTGATGGCGCCGTTGATTCAGTTTGCCGCCGAACACACTTCGTCTTTACGGTTCAAGAAACGTTTACGTACATCGCGCCTTCAGGGGAGAGACTACTATATCAAGTGATACAAAATGAATAAAATGTATGAAGTCTAGATCGGAATTTCTTTTTTTTCTTAGATGGAAGGTTATGATTCCTACATCTTCAATTTTGACGTTGATAAATCAGAAAGTTGATGGTACCTAAGTTTTCAATTGCAGTGTCTACGCGGGGGGGGGGGAGGGGGAAAAGAGGGGAAGGGAGGGAGTAGGAGGGGGTGCTTGAGTCAATTTTTCCTGGGTATGTACCGCTGGCCTCTCACCGCGAAACTTTCCATTTTTAAATTCCTCATTACCAGAATTTTCCAACCCCCGAAAACCCGAAAATGTGCTACACCATTCGTAAAAATGTGAATCCATCCTACGGCACAAGCCTTTCATTTGGAAGTACCCCCTCCCCTAGAGTTTATCTTACTTGTCTCAATATTTCTATCGTGATAGTGTACAATACAAACTTAATTCGTGAATGGAAGGTTTTTATAGCTGAAAGATTTCCTCCTTTCTTTAGATTCTTTCAGAAAATTAAAGTTGAAGGACGATTTCAAATGTATTCTACCTGGTTCGCATCTGTCGTTCTGCTGGGAACTGTTTTTACCTATATTATCATGTCCGACTTAACCTTCACTCGACTTTTACCACGCATAATGGAAAGACGAGCTCGTTCTGGTGGAAAGAAAAGTTCTTCCTTTGTTTTAATTTTTGCACAACCAAGAACAGGATCGTCATTTCTAGGACAGTTATTCAACCAACATCCAGATGTATTTTATCTTTACGAACCTCTTCACCCCTTCGCGGTGTTTAAAAAATTGAAATATATTGCAGAACGAAATTACACAACTCTTACACGATTATTCCTTCGAAATGCTTCTATCTGCAACTTTAATGGCTTCCAAGAATACTTTAATTTTCTTTCTCACCCAGGACTGTCAAATCCACATTTTGTTTTATCGAGCAGATCACTGGCATCATTACCTTTCTGCAAATATGCTTTTCAACCGTTTAAAAATCTCTTTAAACCTTTAAGCAAATGTTATCCGTTAGACGCAAACTTAGTGTCGCTTAATTGCAAATCGAAGAAGTTCGTTGCTTTAAAAATATTAACTCACCGTTTACCTGAGGAAAATTTAAAAGACTTGGTCGAAGGTGATTCTTTACAGCCGCAAAAAATTCCACTTAAAACTATACAGTTAGTACGCGATCCGCGGGCGGTTGTTTGGTCCATGATAAAAATGGGTTTAATATCAAGAGGAACTAAAAACTACATCAGGACAGAATTAAACAAAAAGGGACTAAACTCAACTTTTCGCCCACCAAATATAAACTTTATCCCTGGTTTCAGTTTCATCGAGCAAGTTCGACGTTTCTGTGATCGACTGAAAAAGGATATGAACTTGTCATCATACCTTTCGTCTAAACTTGGTCCAGATCAGTACAGAGTAATTCGCTACGAGGACTTAGCGGAGAACATCCCAGAGTTTTCACGCAAAATATTTCAGTTTACGGGGATTGATTATGCTGCAGAGGTGAAAGAATGGCTGCGAAACATCAATTTTGATGAAAAAAGAGATAGTAACGATGAGCTTAGCTACTCTACAAGCAACAGAAATACCTCTGTTACTATCAACTCTTGGAGGAAGGAACTCTCGCTGCTGGAAACTCTTATCATTGATAACCAATGCGCTGATTTTATGGTAAAGTTTGGTTATAAGTTTATCGAAAGCGCAAATCTTCTTAAAAATATGGCAAAAAGTCTAAGGAATCCGTTACAAAAAAACTTTCATACCATGTAAGATACACATAATTACAAACTGAATGAAATAAAGAGAGTTTGTTGATATTCTGTGAAATGAAAGAATCCAACATAGACATTTTTCTTAGATATTAGGAACGTAGAAGAAGGCGAACAAACATTGAAGCAAATGCAAACTTTATTCGCAAGTTTTTAAACAGGTGCTCCCAAAACTTTTTCAATTTTCGAGGAGCTCCTTGTTTTGGACCTTACAGAGTGCTTATGAACCTCATATTCTAAAGATCCAAATTAATCTAAAAACAGCACTTGTTATAGACGAAAAGTACCTCTGTCTGCAATTGCAAAACATGGCTTTCCAACGATGCCAACTGCTGCATGTATACGGTAAACTAAGCCAAAAATAGCACTAAACATCCATAACATAAACTGTACTTCAGTTGTATAATGGAGAGATTTCTCTTTTCCTTGTCTTGTTTCGAGTTTGCTATCGTTAAAATAAAAAATAAGAGCAGAGGGACTGTTTAATTTGAAAAACATCAGAACTAAAACAGTCGCACTGGAGTAAAATATTTTAGGTGGCACGCTGAATTTGACAAATTCCAGCAGTCTTGTTTTCGAGTTTACTACTGTTAAGATAAAAAAATAAAAGCAGAGAGACTGTTTAATTTGAAAAACATCAGAACTAAAACAGTCGCACTGGAGTAAAAAATTTTAGGTGACACGCTGAAATTGACAAATTCCAGCACCTGTTTCAAGTTTGCTACCGTCAAATAAAAAATAAAAGCAGAGAGACTGTTTAATTTGAAAACACATCAGAACTAAAACAGTCGCACTGGAGTGAAAAAGTTAAGGGGGCGTGCTGAAGTTGTCAAATTCCAGCAGTCTTGTTTCGAGTTTGCTACTGTAAAAATGAAAAATAACAGCAGAGAGACTGTTTAATTTGAAAAACATCAGAACTAAAACAGTCGCACTGGAGTAAAAACGTTTGGGTGACACGCTGAAATTGACAAATTCCAGCAGTCTTTCTTCGAGTTTGCTATCGTTGAAATAAAAAATAAAAGCAGAGGGACTGTTTAATTTGAAAAACATCAGAACTAAAACAGTCGCACTGGAGTAAAAAATTTTAGGTGACACGCTGAAATTGACAAATTCCAGCAGTCTTTCTTCGAGTTTGCTACTGTTAAAATAAAAATTAACAGCAGAGGGACTGTTTAATTTGAAAAACATCAGAACTAAAACAGTCGCACTGGAGTAAAATATTTTAGGTGGCACGCTGAATTTGACAAATTTTTATCGGTCTTGTTTCAAGTTTGCTACTGTTACCTAGAAAAAAGAAGTGAAGGCCAGCAAAACTACATGGCGTTGGTGTCAAAGTCCACAGCATCTTATAACAATCTTGAGAACAAGTTAGAGTTTTCCTCCGTAGTTTTAGAGCAATTGTAAGCTTCATCAACTCCCGTAGTTAACATATCACTGATGGAAGTTGAAAATCAACTTACGGAGTTTAATCTAATTTCGATGGAAAAGAAGGTACATAAAACGAATATTTACGTGAGTACCGGTTTGAAGTCAAGAAGCGAGCCCCTTTAAACCCCGTATCTACGCAAGCCAGAGATCTTAGGCTTGGTTGCCGCGTTAAATTCCCCCATTTGTGTGAACAGAGAAGGGACGAATAAGAATGTGTTTCCCTAGCAGTGCCGACTAGCCTCTTCTAATCTCAACGAAGCTAAGACAAAAAGCAAATGACGGCGAGAAACGCAACAGACAGAAGGGTACCAACTGCTGCAGAAATACCCTGAGCCCCTGAGCCCGGTGGATTGGTCGCTGTATATTTGGTGAAGGTGATTTTGGCGAAGGCGGGGATGTCATTCATTCCCTTCAGCACGGTTTCGCTGTCCTTTGTAATGACTGTGACAACATCCTGCGGCAAAGTGGGAGCATTTTCTGAGGTGAAGTTCATTCCACTATCTGTCCCAGCATCCCACGCGGGCAAGTACATGGACATACTCTCCTTCCATTTGCCATCGCTTCCACAGAGCTCTACGCCATGAACTCCAACGAACCAATCAGGAGAGGGAGCAATCATGGCGATGAAAGAGGCTTGGGAATACTTGTCACTCGCCGTTATCATCATAGTTGTAGTCTCTGCAGCGCCAGACATTTCATCGGCTTTGTAAATCATGTGAATGTATCCCTGATATTTTCCCATGAAGTTTTTCAGCTCGTAGTACAATGTTGAGTAGTTGCCTAGCATAGCCAAAAATTTTGATTGAACACAAAAAAAGAAAGGTAAATTCTTCGCATGATCCATTTTTAATTCCGAATATCACAATTTTTTTTTAAGGTAGGCAGAAAAGAAAGGAGCAAAACTCTATCCTCCTCCCAACTTCTCGTTTTTACCCCTCTCCCTGATCCCCAAAAAGCATCTGACACTACGGTTGACATTTCTGGTGTCTTCAGGTGCATTGAGGTCGTATGTAGTACCTTACACTATTGCTACTCACCTAAGAACCTTTCACCCTTCTTACCCCATTCCGAAGTCTTTCGTCTTTTTCAGTGAGAGTACAGTGCTGTGTCTAAGACCACAACACACATAAGATCAAGCTAAGCTAAGACTTGAGCCAAATAAACCCCTAATGATCGTTAAGTCATTCTTCCCCAACCTTTATCACTACAGACGTTAATCATGCAATTCATCATGTTGCAAACAAGCCTGAAATAAGACAATTGTTAATCAAATGATTATCTACCTGTTTCTGCGACCATCTGTACTCCTTTAGAAGCCATAGTCATGGGACTCCAGAACCTGTAGTTATACATATGGGTGCAACCGATGAGAGGTGAAAAACGAGGATTGGACGGGTATCCCATGGGTTGCCTTTGTTCGGTCCACATTCCTTCAAACTTGAGCATGTACTTCTGCTCTCCGCTGCACATATACTGCGTTGGCTTGTTGACTCTTTGAAACATCAGCATGCCCATGGTTGGAATGTCTCCCTGAAGGTTCATAAAGGAAGTGTTCATCATTGTGTTGATAACAGCGATATTCCCTTGGGGACTTGTCTCCACGTCATCGGCGGTGAACGTGGTTCCACTATCAGTCCCAGCATCCCATGGCGGCAGCATTGCTACGTTCCAATTGTCACGCCAGTTTCCATTATTACAAAGGTTTATAGAGTCGCCTCCTATGAACCAATCAGGAGAGGGGAAGATCATGGAAATCAGCGACACGTAAGGATAGTCGGCCGTGACCTCAACATCAATGCCCTCCACCTTGTCTGTGCCGTTTATGGGTCCGCCCTGTTGTTGGATCAGTTTCCACACTGTCTTGTTGTACATCATACGCATCATGATTTCATCTCGCAGGAGTGACGAATTACCTGATGAGACATGAAGGCAAATGAGCTACTCAACTTTTGATCTTAAGTAGCAGCGGTCTTTGCCTATAGTCACTGTAAACGTGACAGAATTTTTTGGATGAGGAGAACTGTTTTATGTTGAACCGATTTCATGCAAGCATAGTGGATAACGTCACCCAATACCCAAGCAGTTTACTTCAGATCATGACAACAGGCACTGATCATGGATAAAGAATCCATAGATCCGGCACCATGTGAAAGTTTCTTGCTGAAATAAGGAAATGTAACAAGCAATTTACATCGTCTTCTCAAAGTGTAAATTAGACTACAAAAAAAACCCTGAAATAGAAGGAACAGAGGTCGAGGAGAAAACGAAAAAACTATTTGGAATAATGAACAAAATGTTAATTAAAATGAGTCGCAAAGTCAGCCTTTTATGGTTCTCATGACGCCTCTGTCGGTTTAAAAACGAAAGAGTGCCTCGACTCCAGCAGACGTTTAAAACACACTCAGATCTTTATAGTCTGCGTCTTTCGATAAAATTTGGACAGCAGTGGTTGTTACATGGCTGGACAACGTTTGCATGTGAACGATCCAGTATTGACGAAATACGAAAGAATTAGAAAATAGTTTCACAAAAACAATGTACCTGTCTCAGCAACTTGTTGTACGCCTTTTGAAGCCATCATTCCTGGCTTCCACATGGAGTAATCTGCACTGTGAGAGGCGCCGACCCAAGGTGAAAACATAGGAAAGCCCTTTGTAGGAACAGCATTCGGGTGAGTCATGTTACTCCATTTGCCGTAGAAACTCAGCTTGTAATGAGCAACGCCAGGACATTTCAGAGCCGAGCTAAAAGCAGAAAAGAAACCGAGAAAGGCTAGGAGAAAAAATCCAACGCGTACTCTCATTTTCATCGATGCGAGAACCCAACTTCAATTGCGCTCGAACAGCGTTTTTTTCACTTTGCGAAACTTCGTCAAGTGAGAAGAATCCTCCTGCCCGCAATCACATTAACTCTTCTTCAAACCATCGATATTGTTGCGACAACACAATAAGCTTTTTACGTCAGAGGAGTAATTTTTGATATTATGAACATACCACTTAGCGTCACAAATATCAACGGTTCAAGCTTGCATTCAACCGTGAGCCATAAAAAAAAGTTTGCTCTTTATGAGAGCCGTAAGATATGATCAAATTGTGCATTGTCTTTGAAAAGAAAAACCTTGCAGTTCTTTTCGTTTGGGTTTTTAAAACTTTTCTTCCGAAAAAATGCAAAACTAATATCGACTATTAGTTTCTTTTGTGAAAATAACAATTGCACCCGTCGGCTCTACACTGTAATTAAAATTCTTGAACGTAACAAGCATGCCAAGGCAAGTTTCTCCAACTTCCTTTAATTTAGAACTATGGAATACTGTAAGGAGTAAATTCCTTAAGTCTACGTTTTGAACCCTTTTAAAACTTTATCCTTACGCTTGATCATAAAATCATAAGGAAAAACTTTTTAACTTTCTAACTGACCAAGCGAAAACTAAAGCCAGTACTACCTGTTTTCTGCAACTATATCATAAGCACTATATCACAAAACCGCATTACAACTACTTGTATGACTGCTATTAATTTGCTTTTATTTTTTCGGCATGTTTTATCAACAATGAAATAAATACACCTTATTCGATGGTTTAAAATATATAACACGAGCGGATGTTTTGTGAGCAAAGAGCAAAATGTCCCCTCGTATTAGATGTTGAACCGTTGAATAAGGGATTTATTATTCCATCATTATTTCAATTTTTAGAATTTTGGCATCTATTTTTCGAAATATACCCTCATGCTTCTTGTCTCTGATCGTGCGCGAAGGATGAAAACCGGCAACACTAGCGAAATCACTCAAGACTTATTATGGCCAATAAAAAAAATCTGAAGCACTTGAAAGATTTCTTGCTTAAAAGAAGTCTAAATATCGATAAAGTTTGGATCGTTCGGTGCGACCAATTTGTTGCTCTGTATTTTTGCTATGTTCTACAGTGTAGTATCATGGCATATTTGCACGTACTAGTGCCCTAATATGGTAAAATAACTTAATTACGGAATAACAAAAGAAATAATATTTACTTTTGAGTCGAATAACCAAGGTAACAACAGTCATATTTGTTTCAAGAAATAATTTATAAAATTTACTCGAATAAAAATTATTTCAAAATATAGCACAAATTACTTCTTGCTTAAAATAACTCTGCAACTGTTCAACATCACCATTTAGCCTCGCACAATGATGTCACGTAATTTTGCCAAGCTTACCATTAACTGAAAAAAGAAATCCAAAAGAATGAATGAATGTCTTATGTATATACATATATGTATATCGGCTACATAAAGCATAATTGCCGTGTTTCATGTTCAACGCCCGACCTGACCTGCACATTGATCTTTAGGCTTTGGCTATTTTGACTTGAAGACATTTTTTTCAGAATGTCGAATAATACAGCTTTTTTAAAATAAAACACGCAAAAGAAGTGTACTTTGCATTTGTTTTTTATCTTGAATGTTCCAGGTTCGAATTTCAGCTATTCAAAATAAATTACAACAATAGATAGATACGCAAGTTGAGCAGACAGCCATTTCTGACACGCATCAGTCTGCTTTTTTAGCCTGGATATTTTTTCTGGTAAAACCCATTTACTTCTGAGACAGGTCTCAGAGTCATAAATGACACTATTTCTGGTCCCACTAAGCTCATGCACGAATCCTCAAAAGGCAAACTGAAGGCAACACGACTTGCAGTTACGGGGAGGTAATCGACCTTTAAACTCAAGAAGTGATGAACATGTAACTTCTACCCATAATATCCATGCCATTTCCAGCAGCCAGGTAATGAGAATACTCAAACTTATCAGGTAGAAGTTGTTATCCTTAAGAATTTTTCCGCCTTCTGGCCATTGGCCAAACAAATAAAGATCTTTTCTTTCCTAAAAAACAAACTCTACCATCATTGTAGAAAAAAGGAAAAAGCCAACATGCCCCAAAAGTCAGCCGGGCATTGGAACTACTTGTCTCAAGAGCGAGGCTCTCAACAACTTAAAAATATGACGTTGTTTTGCGCCCTTGTAAAACTCAGGCACGTAATAATATTTGGCCTTTTCACGCATCACGAATAATATCCAAAACTCATTCACGTTTAGACGAAATTTGAGACGAAATTTGAGACGATCACGTTTTACAAATTCACTCTTTGAAGAGAACATTAGTCATATCCATGCGATTACCCTTCGCAGAGGAGATCGTGTTTACCATGAGAGCGAGGGTGTTTTGCCAGGTTACCGAAGCTATTAAGATTTACGCCAGGTTACCTAGTTAACAATACCGAAGAGAACTAAACAACATGGCGGCTCGCGGAGTGATATCTCGTGAACCTAAAGATCCCCAGTTCGTGTCTTATTTCTTCTTTTAGAGTGCCTCTTTTAAATTCTTCGTCGAAAAAAATGAGAGTACTTAAATTGTCGTTACTTTTTTTCTTAGAGAAATGTACAAAGAAGCTCTGGAGAATGTATCCGCTTACAACTCCAGATTGCGTTACGAGCGCCGTCTTCGCATTCCTTTCATCGATGCACAAACAGGCATCGCAATGAACAACTGCCATTTATGGATCAGCAAACTCGAACGTCAGCCAGGACAGACGCCACATTACGTCTATAGTTACCCAGCCAGACGATGGCGGAAAAAGAAACGGCCTCCCCCTGTAGAGCGTGCGATTGAGACCAAAACTTTAGAAACTGAAGGTAAAGCCAGGTGGGAAATGGGGGGAGGGGGAAGGGGAGGGGGGAACTGTAGAGAACTATGAGAAAAGTCTCGCATGTCTGTATCAATGATAGTTCAGCTCATTCTGAGACAAGCATGATGGCTAACCAACAATTTCTCATTCCCCTGTGCGTTGTAAGAGCCCTTTTACTGAACACTGCAGGTGAAATCGTTTTAACCCTATATACCCCAAAATTAGTATGTATATTCTCCAAACTGTTCTCTATAAATTTCTTAAGGTGCTGACGGAAGAAGTTTTTAAACAATCCAGAGCTTCTTTTGTTGATAATCAATTGAAACTCAAATTATGTTTCTTATCTAAAAAGAACAAATAATTGAAACTGTGGATGCCATGGAAACTGAGGGACTACTGGATGAGTCTGAACCTGATCATCTAAGAGAAGCTGTGGCAGTGAAAGATGATGAAGTGAGACTTGTGGAGAGCGAAGGGGAGGAAGATCTACAGGACGATAGTGGTGCATTATCCACTGATGATGAAGACTTCATCGTCGGCAAGAAGAGACCAATTAGTAAAGGAAGGCCAGGACGCAAAAAAGCGCATCAACCCAGTCTATTTCCAGAAACACCAGTCCACCATGTAAGAAAATTTTATTGGGGATTTTGATTGGGAATTTTCTGAAAAGCAAGATAGAGTAGCCTCCTAAAAGCACACTCTCTCTGTTGACCAGTTGAGAAAAAGAAAGTTTTTAAGAGGGGAGGTGTAATGGCCTAATGAAGATGCAGGAGGTGATGGTTTGTGTGTTAGGGTAGAGGCCTGTTCTGGGTCCTTTTTTTCTGTACTTGCCCTGGAGGGATTATGAAGATAGAAGTGGCCACTGAACCTCACAGTATCCAACATAGCAGCTTGCTCAAAGTTCAGGTATAGTTCTCAACTCATGTTTTGTTATTGTTTGTGTAAACTTCAGAAGCCAATCCCCCAAATGCCTGGCCTTCTCCATGTGCGCAATATCACCAAGGAGGAATTAGCCAGGATGGATCCAGAGGAGCGAAAAAAGCCTTATGTGTGTGAGAGTAAGTCAGTATATGATAAATACCAGAGAAAATTGAATAGATAAATAATGACTGCTGTTGAATACCTTATACATACAATGCCACCCTATACACCCACTGCCCCAATGGGAACTGATGGTGATGATGTGGATATTTGTTAGAAGAGAAGTTTTTGTACTTAGTATGAAAACAGTTATACAAAAAGCATTTTCTCTTTTGTGTGGAATTGTATAATAATATTATAATAATTATTCTACTCCTTTGCCACTTAACCATATTAGAGCAATGAAAGGGGCAAATTTGTTACGGTATTACAGTGTAGAACAGAGTAAAAATACACACTGAAAGTAGAGCAACAAACTGGCTGTGCCGAACAATCCAAACTGTTAATTTTTCGGTCTTTAGGCTTGACTTTTTAAAATATGGACTTTTTAGTGAAGATTTTATTCTTTTGTTTCATCTTTTGCCTACACCTTACACAATCAATAAGATGCCAGGGTAAGGCTGTAGAAAGCGTTTTGTCAACAAAAAGTTCTCAAAGATGAAATGATAAATCCCTTATTTGATGGTTTAGCATATGATAGGAGTGGATATTTTGTTCATTATTTATCTTCTCTTTGCCCCCATGGAGCTCGGAAAAATACTATGCAACCCACAATATATCTGCATGTATTTATATGTTAAACCATTGAATGAGGTTTATTTGTTTTAATTGTGTTTAAAAATTTTGTGAGTAGAGATGGGCATAGATATTTTTTTCAGTTACTGTTGTTTTTTTCTCAGTTTGTGGACGGCGCTATAAAAATGGCCCTGGACTGAAATACCATTACACCCACTATAATCACGAACAGGAGGCTGCAGCTGGTCCAGCACCTCATCATGAGGAGCCACCAATATCCCACCCATCAACGCCTTCTACTGCCAGTGTTCCGGTTGAATCTCCAAAGGTTCCTCCATCACCACCCCACCAAAGAGGTCCAGGACGCCCAAAGAAGGTTCCAGGCAGCGGCACTTCTCCTAATAACTATTGCGACTTTTGTCTGGGTGATGTGTACGAGAATAAAACAACTGGATTTCCTGAAGAACTGTTATCTTGTGCAGACTGTGGCAGATCAGGTATTACCCATTTTAGTCTCAGGATAATCTCCAATAAATATCAACTTTGTAAGTCTGCTCCATGTTTTTCTTTTTTCTTGTGTTGGATGAAAGCAGGTAATCCCAAGCTGGTAAGATGTGCTTGTCTTGCTCGCTCAAGTAACCAATCAGAATGTAGGATTTGCTTCATCTTGCCCTTAAATGCTACCAGCTTTACAATGATAAGAAGAGTTGATGCATGGATTACTCAGCTCAGTGGCAATCTTGGAAACCACAAGCACCTGAAATGCATTTAGAACGGTGCTCAGGACAAGTGAAACTAGAAAACTGCAAAGTAACAAATTATTGTTACTTTGTAAAGTTAATATTTCTCAAGCCTGATTTGATTGTTTTTCTCAACACAACAACATTCCAGAAATAATATTGGTGCTCATAGTTTTCTGAGTTTTACAGTAAAATTGGACAGGCCATCAATAGGCCATCATCAATCAGTTTGGTAGATGGAATTTAAACAATTGAAAAGGTGCAATGAGAATAAAGACAAATATCAATTTGGGAGTAATTGGTTGATCCAATACTAAATTAATAAAGGGTTAAATAATGTAAATTGGCCATCATAAAGAGATTGTAGGGTTGATGTTTTGAGCATAAGGCCTTCACTCTGATGAAGGGCTGAAGCTTAACCCTTTAACTCCCAGATCAAATTTGTCATTCTCCTTACTATCGACCATACAATTCTTATAATGTTAGTTCAGAGAATTTAGTATTGGATCAACCAATTATTCCCATATTGATATTTTTCTTTATTCTCATCACTCATCTGGTTGATGTTGTATTGATATTGTAAGGAGAAATTCTGTCTCGGTCTTTCATGGGAATTAAAGGGTTTTAACTCAGTTGATAAGATCAAGGTATCTTTCATTTATTGGTATTCGTGATTTTTTTTTTTAGGCCATCCTTCTTGTCTTCAGTTTACTGGAAAGCTGACAGAAAGTGTGAAAAAATACAAATGGCAGTGCATTGAGTGCAAGTCCTGCACACTCTGTGGAACTTCTGATAATGATGTGAGACTGAGTTAAACATACTTTAGAAACATTTTCATCAACCTCGTTCAGGCAATAGAAAGACATCTACAATGTACCTTGCTGTATGTGCATGAAATCTATCCATATGGGGTAAAGTTTGTTTTGCCTTTGATTTATGACACAAAAGGAAGCTGTAAGCTTTTCATATGACCTCTGAATAGTTTCTGTTCTTTTGTAGGATCAGCTGCTGTTTTGTGACGGCTGTGACAGAGGTTATCATATGTATTGTCTCAAGCCACCGATGCAAAAACCACCTGAAGGTAATCATTTGTCTCTAGAGTATGATATTCATTTATCCATTTGAACTTTATTTGTTCAAATAGCCTTTATGGAGGAATTGTACAGAGTAAAAACTGGCATTTTGGTTGCTTTAACTGACCAATTTTTAACCATAAACTATGGGACTTATTGGGACTTTTGAACCTGCACTGATGTGATGTGAATTCGACAAGGGAACAATAATCAGTGATGGATTATAATGAGCAAAACAGCAGCAATGGAAAGAAATTAAGCAAAACAATGAACTTCCAAATGTTTGGAAGGGGTTATGGTTGACATTTCATGACTTCAATGATTGAAAGATAGATTATATCAAGGTTGAAGGAGGAGGGTTAGCCCTTCGTCATTTGCTCTGATGAAGGGCTAACACTTGAAGTGTCAGCTTTTAAACTCTTTATGGTGGCCGGTTTATGTTATCAATTCAGTCGATAATACTTAATTGCCCTGTTATACTCTCCCACCAATGCAGTCCCACAGTTTCTTTAGAAACTTACCCCTTTACAAAATTCATATCCTTGAGCTGAAGTGCAATTTTCTTTTTACTATATGAACAATAATATAGAGTAGAGATTGAAACAGCGGGCTTTAATACAAACACTAGGTATCAAAAGAAACAAAATACTTGGTGCCCTAATCATAAAAAGGTTTGCATGTAACACCATTCATTAGGCCAAAATCAAGTATTCAGCTGTTCAGCAAAAACAGATCAAAAATTTATTTAATATTCTAAACAACAAACAAACCAAGTTCATTCAGCAAAGTTTGAAAAGGTAGGAATTGTGACGTTGTTACTCAATATCACCACTCAGGTTGTATTCCAGAAATATTCCACTTGGTTCCCATATGTAGTGGTTGTATTGATTCTATGAGTGTTTTAGTTCTCAGTTAAACACTCATGTCCTACATAAACTCTACTTAGCTGTTGTTGTATAATGATACTGTTATTAAGGTGGCTCTACTAATCTTTCAGGTCACTGGACATGTGCTCTCTGTGAAACTGCTCCTTTACCCCCAGCTCCTGCACCCATGCCACCTCATATGATGATGAAACCAGAGTGGCACTAAAGCGGCAGATTTAAGATCCATGTTCTCTACACTCTTCTCTTTACTTCTCCTCTGGTACTGCAAGGAGAATTTGTGTAACAATCAAACTATTTTGTCGATAATTTCCTTTATTCTCGGCATCTTAATGAAGGATTCAGTGGTGTTGCTGTAAGGAGAAAGTAGAAGCTGGTCACTCTTAGGGTTTTGAAGGTTAACTATGAATGAGTCTCTAAAGAATGTCGTCCTAAGTATGGCGTGTTACATTTCAGCAAGTGTTATATCATTTTTGAATAAAATGGTCAAGTATAAATGTGAAAGGTTATGTTGCTGGTAGATTGTCACAGAGAGCCGTGTTGAAACTTGTTTGGTTGTCACTGGTTAAGAAGTATTCAGGGAAAAAAGGATGTCAGAAAAATTACAAGAAAAAATAAAACTGCATTGAAGAACCTCAAACTCATCCATTTTTTGTCTTCATTGTTTTGTTGATGCTAATGAGATGGTTGGAAATACTCTAAGTGTAATAAATTATGGAATGTTATTTCTATGCATCACATTGTGTATTTATTTTGTCAGTAACATTTATTTTTATTATGGAACAGGAAAAAAGTCAGAAATTTTGAAAAATTATGCTTTTTGCAACCATGTCCTCATAAGAGGGTGAATACATAACCCTTTACACCCCTAATATCAGTAAGGATATTCTCCATACTGTTCTCTATACATTTCTTAAGGTGCTGCTAAGAAGAATTTGTTAACAGTCAAGAGCCTCTTTAGTTACTCAGTGATCATTTCCTTTATTCTCATGACCTTAATGTTTGATTCAGGGGTGATATTGTAAGGAGAAATTAGATGCTAGTCACCCATAGAATCAAAGGGTTAAGAGGTGGGACACTTAAAGTATGGATTCATTTTTCTTTTCTTTGGATATCCTTGTGTGGCTTTGTCAGATCTTTTGCGCTTAATTCAACAGACTACATTAAAGGTCAGAGTGATACAATGAGTCGGCAGATACGTTTCATGATTTTTTCATAAATTTTATTCTTGAAATGACAAGTCCTTTCCTATTTGATGAACAATCTTCATGGTTGCTTCAAACTGATCTTACTGTTTAAGGTAGATCAAGTATTTGAATTTTGATTACATCTGTAACACCCTGAAGAGAGTTTTAATTGACAATCCTAGCAGGAATCTGCCAACAGTAGACTACTTTATCATCCTGGTCATGCAATTCCCACTTGACAACAACTTGAATCTGAAATAAAAAGTGTCATCAGATTGAGTTGGGTATTTTGATGCTGAAATATGGGCTGGTACTATAAGACAAGGCAACTAAAACCATATCTGAAAGTCAATTTCTACTTCATGTCCATGTGTTTAACTCTTCAACTCATAAAATCTGATGGTTAAATTTTCCATCTGGCTCGTACACAATTCCTGGTAAGTTATTGACTTGAATTTGGTGGTAGACCAAGGTAACTTCTGCTTGATAAATTTAAGTATTTTCATAACCTGTTTACTGGATAATGTTGAACATTATAGACAAAAATTAGATGTTAACCCTTCAACTCCCAGATCAAATTTGTACTTCTCCTTACCGTCAATCATACAATTTTTATGATGTTAGTTCAGAGAATTTAGCATCGGATCAGTTAATTATCCCCAAATTGATATTTTCTTTATTCTCAGCACTCATCTGGTTGATATTGTATTGATATTGTAAGGAGAAATTCTGTCTTGGTCACTCATGGGAGTTAAAGGGTTAATCACTGCTGGGAGTGATAGGATGAATTCTCGTCACATTGTACTTACAGCAGGGTACATGCTCTTTATGGGAAGTTGAGTTTTGAAAGTGTAAGTTTTTCCAGCAAGTAAAGGGCAATCAAGACCTTGGCCCTTGCAAGCATCTGGCTCGTCAACAGGAAATGGTGCTGGCATGGGTACGTATGGGATTTTACCATGTACCACAGTCTTGGCTGATGTAATGTTCACCTCTGTAAAACAAAAGAAAACCTATTGTTTGCAATGTATTTTCTGTCCATAAAGAGCGTTTAATTCCACAAATTTATTTTTGAGAAATGAAGGTAAAATGAATTTTTAAAAATGTTATAATGTTATTTCAAATGTATCCACCAGAAAGACAACTATCTTGACTACTAACTTTAGATTTTTTTATCTTTGGGAGTCAGATTCTATGTTTTTATCGATAACGGAGGAACTCTCCTAGAAAATATTTAATTAAAGTAATTTTCTTTCGATGGTAATATAGGGCTTAACAGGTCGTCCCAAACTCATCTCGGACAAAGAATTGTACCGGAAATTTTAGCGTAATCATTTGATGTTGCATTTCATTTCACACTTAAAAAATGGTTCATTTCTATTAGCCGAGACAAATGAAGATTTCTGATAACACAATACACAAGAGAGGTAATTTAACGCAAAAAAGGTAATTCATTGCCCAAGATTTTTATAACAGTTCAACCGGGCTTGAATTTTTTGCCGCCCAAAAACTTAGTTAAAAGAAAAAAAAACTTTTAGAGAATGGTTGTTTTGATTAGATGCGGTTGTCCTGGCCTTCACGCTGAAAATATGCAGGGTTTGAAAAACTTTCTTACACAAACGATTCGCGCGCTTTGCCTCTGCACAGTTATGAAAAATGATCTCGCTACGGGCCCTGGCAACTTTGTTTGTCTTGGAAAAGATTAATTGCATTTACGTTTTCCAGATCCATCCAAAATGACATGTAACTGACAAAACGCATTGGGGTCGTTTCAACGTACTTATCAGACCGAAAAAAACATTTGTGCTAGGAATTTTTGCCTATTCTCGTTGTGTAGTATGCTCGTTTCCCACAAAGTTTTTTAGTTTGTTTTATTGTTTCACTCATTTTATAACACTAGGACCTGTTTCACTCATTATTTAACACTAGGACTTAAACCGATGGACTTTTCGTACTTGGCACAAACTGTACTTGGATGGTTTCCTCAGTTCCCTTCTTCAAGCTACACGGATCGGGCTGATTGATACAAGGATCAACGTCCACGAAGACAAGTTTGGACAAAGCATCTGCCCCACCTGAAGTAAATCAAACACATGTAACACAAAGAAAATTGCTTCTTTCTGTGTTTAAAATAGGGTACTTTTCTATTATCCTTTTTTTTCTTTTTGCTACGTCTCAGAGAGTTCGTCATTCTTGTTCGTCAAAAAACCACCCACTTCGTCTGATTCTAGGTAGAAAATCGCCCTTTGATTTTAAATTAGATTAATACTGCTTCTGAAATGGCTTTGATTCCCTGCGTTTGGATGAATTGTGCTCTAAGAAAGGGAATGTATTTCTTGCAAGAAGAAACATTATGTAGAGGCGAAAATGGATATGCAAGCGTTCCAACGACCTCCTTTGTATATTCAACGAAGTCATGCTTCATCGCCCAGAGTCTCTTAACTACTCTCTTAACTTTATCCAATGAAATGCAGCTCACTCATTGTAGAGCGGAATTATCAAAACCTTGTTAGTTTTTTTTTTTACATTGGAACCAGCCACAAAGGTAGTCAATTTGAGAGCCGCAGAGAAAGTCGAAATTCGATCTTCGTTGCAAAATTACACATAAATAAAAATGAATGAAGCTTACCACAATCATCGTACGACACATGAAAACCTGAACCAAATCCAATAACACAGAGTGCTAAAACGGACACAATTGCGGCCTTTTCCATTTCGAACTTCCTTCTTTCACCGCTGCAAGGAAACCTGCTCGCACCAAGATGACCGGTAATTGTAAAAGACCGACCTTATATAACATTACATGTTAAGTAGGGAACAAAACGGTGTACAATTACAACTATTGGTTGAGGGCTGTGCCACTGTCGACCTTTTCAAAGTGGTGTGATGGTGTGATGTTTGTCGAAGTGGCGTTACACACCACGCCATGTACCTAGCTGACACAAAGAGTACTTTGTGTCCAAATGCAATAAACCTTGCACGTTGATATTTTAACTGTTTCCCTTTCTGTGCCAACGAACTGAAAGGATATTTTTCCAGGCCGACAAATATTTACCGTGGCTAAATTTTTTTGTTCCAGCGAGATCGGAGAACAATGGATTTCTGCCTTGGCCACAGGCGGCCCAAATGGTCATCTTGCGAAATTAGAGTCATGGCCTGAGTCATGGCGAAATTATAAGAATTTGTATGGGAAGCCTTAGGCTTCTCTTATGTACGTAGTAAACCTCGAAATGGATAACTCGTCAGAATGGGTTCTTTTCAACATAGTAAGCGGTCAGTTAACAGGCGATGCACTGAGGAAGTAAGGTGAGGTATTTTTATAAAGAATTTGACTGTATTTTTTTATTCCTAAAAGTGGTCGTAAATATTCCCATACAAACTCTCATAATTTCGCCATAACTCTTATGTCGCATAAAATGACGATCATCTCACAGCTGGAGCTTGGGCCGCCTGTGCCTAAGCAAATAAAACCAGTGAATGCCTTTTTCTTTTGTTGTTGATTGTGCAATTAAAGCTGACCTTTGTAGTTTATTTGTGTAGCAATATGTTTGATTTCATTGATAAATACTGGCCTTTTTTAAGGCAATCTTTACCGAAAGGTGCAAGCGTAAATATTCCAATTGTCGATAGAAGGATAAAATTTGTGGTAAAACTGTTACGTTCATGGTGGTGGTATGAACATTTGATTAATCAGGCGTTGAGTTTTGTGTAACAACTTTTTTTCAAAACCAAATCGCAGTCTCAGAACAAGAACTTAAATTTGCCTCTTTGGTATTTTTTTTGAAACGCCAGATCAATATTTTGCTGTAAAAACTCGTTTATGTTCGCTCGAAAAAATGAGTTTTGTAAGGTAAATTCTTAACTTAAAAAAATCATAAAGCAAAGTTAACTCGCATATGAAAAATGATAAAACTATAGAATACTGTATCTATTCGATTAAACGCCGCGGCGTTTATTAAATTGTTCGTGATTCCAGTAAGGCATTTATACAAGAGCGGCGTTTATTTAAAATCCAATTTATTTCTTGCAAACAATAGTATGATAACTGACCATTTTATTTTAAAAAACAGAAACATGTTTTAGTGCTTGTCTAAAAAGTCATTTTTTATATTATTCTCAATTTCGCAATTTGCATGTTAATACTATTGCAATACATTTAGTGATTAAACGTCTAATGTCGGATGTGCTTTCCCGACATCAGAACTGGTACATTAAAAGAAATTCGTGTCTGGTTCACTCAAAATTTCCAACTTCGATCGAAGCAATGATCGCTGTGTGCTTTTTGAGTCTTTTATTTGAATAAACGCCGCGCATCATCTGCGGCGTTTATTCGAGAGCGGCGTTTATTAATATTTCTGTGACGTTTATCCAAATTCGGTAGTGTTTTCCAGTTGTCAGATTTTTTCCTCTCCAGCGGATGTCTATTAGTCCTCTGGGGTTCATTGTAATATTCAAAATTCGTTTACGTAACCTGTCAGCTTCAGCGTCCCGGGGTGTTTTAGGGGTGTGTTGTGAATTCCCGGGGTTTTCCCCACAGGATACGTAAGGGTGACGAAAGACAGTCTGTCAGTTTTTCCTGGTAAGCAAAAAATTTTAAAGTGGTATTTCGGTGACAAATAATCGAAAAAATAAAATGTATCGATAAACAAAAACATGCTAGCTAGATATGCATCCAAAATATGCGTTCCATTTCAAGAAAGATCCTCGTGCCAGAAATTCCCTACCCATAGTTCCTTGTAAGCGAGACTAATCAGCGTGGAACGACTCTGATATTGAAGTATCTCGTGTACCGGGTAATCGAGCAATGTTTTGTACCATCCTTACTTAGAAACCGAACGGTCACGCGAAGTGTGACATTGCCTTAGAGCCACCAAGTGGCTGTCTGAAATCAAAATATGTTTTTTTCAGCGATAAAGGGATTTTTGTGCGCTCCTTGAGTCATCTTCAGAATTTGACCTACTTTGACCTGATATACCTTCAGATGCTATTACTACATTCAGTTTAATAGTTTCTCGCGTAATCTGAGGTAAGTGTTCACAATTATTTTGGAATCAATACTTTCGTTGTATTCTAGGTGATTTCGGAGACAATAGTGCTATATTGCAACGTCATACTAGAATGATGTAGCATGCGTGTGCTTACTTGCGCGTTCGCCAGAGTACTGAATGGATTGTTGTGAGAATACGGTTTGGTTTTCAATCCAGCTGCCTCCTTTATAGTTTAATAAAGCTTTTGTCTTTAGAATAGGTCTCTACTTAATTTCAGCTGGAGGCTAAGGTCTCGCTAAATTTAGACCCGTGAAACGCAATACACGGAAATATAATTGATTGATCGATTTTCAGCTATGAAAAGTTCCTGGTTATAATCTTATTTACTTTTCGATTGTGACTTATATGGCGAAACTACTCGCCGAACGAAACAGTCTAAGCTGTAGCGTGGTATTATAAATTATTCATCCATACTGTCGGTGCGGTACACTGTAGTTTTCCGGCGTCGTTGTCTCGTCCTTAGGAATTAGATGGCCGTCGTGTCTGGTCGATTGAATAAGGTAAAAATATTTGTTTCCTCCTACGTAGAATCAAGAGATTTAAAGAAGTGCCATATTCCATTCCACAACCATCAGGATTTTATAAATGAGAGTGGAATCAGTGAATCTTTTACCATTCATTTTTAAATTAGTCTTCCTCGAGGCAAAATCCTTTTTTAGAGGTGGACAACAAAGATCTTTGAACCCTTTGTTAAACACGACTTATGTTTTTCGAAAGCAGCAAGCTTATTTACAGTCGTCAGAAATTGTGTCACATTTTGTGGACTGAATTATTTCTTAAAGTGGCCATCAAATGTTTGTAATAAACGTTACGCAATGCAATCTGATTATCACGTTAATTTTATCTGAATATTATTTTAAAATAGTTTTTTATAAACTGTTAGAGATATTTTAGTATGCCTAGTGCATTTGATATTTTGTGATGGCTTAGCGCCACAGTTACTGATTTCAACTACATCAGTGATATTGACAAATCTCTCAACTCACAAAGTACAATCTGAACAAAACATTACGATGTAATGCAAACTTTAAGCTACTTTTCTTTAGAGACTTTCATGCAGAGAATTGTTCTTGGACATGATCAATGTTTTTTTTATTGGAACTTTTTAAGAAAGGAAGAAACTCTCTGCTTGAAGGAGGGTAGCTAAGGAGTCCTGATTCTGTTTCATGCATAAATTTTATAGAAATGATAAATTCCTTATATATATCAAATGGAAAACTTCAAGTCTCTCTTCTCAGGGAAGTCTCCAGGTTTTTAAAAAAATTCATGGGTAACATATCTTTCAGGTGGCAAATCACACCTCACCATGGTTCATGAATTCATGAATTACATCACATTTTCATTCTGGCCTTAATGATCCATCATGTAAGAACCCTTTGCCACCCAGTCTGTGCAGAAACAACTTGTCAATCACAAAATGTAAAAATCTGATGTACTATTAACAGCTATCATTATTATATATAGCTTAATATAGATTGTAAGTACAACACCAGAATTTTTAGTTTCTGATACAATGAAATTTCTTTTTATTAGCTTTCCAGGATAGATAATGGGCTTCTTTGAAAACTTCAGCTTGATTTTGCTGGTGATTTGTTCTCTAGAGGGTGTTTCCACAACAAGTAACCAATCATCTTTCCAAGTACTCTGTGACTTTGGCAGTTCACATTACTTGACAAGCAACACAGTTACAGTGAATGGGTCTTTGACCTCACACTTCAATAATGCAAGAAAATGTCACGTGAAACGCCACAGCAAATCAGCTATTCTTCGCGTGACATTAGCTGAGTTTGATTCTACAAGCAACATAAGTGCACTCTACTCTATGGTTCTTGAAAACTTGAATGTCTTGTTTGTAGGGGTAGCTCAGAGCAATGGCTTGCAAGATAAATTGCAGAAGTATCACTTCCATGCCTGCCCTCAGTCTTTGATGCAAGAGCCCTTAAGTACAATGGATCTTGACCTACTGTTCTTTGGAGCTCCTGCAAATGCATCTTTTAAATTAGAGATTGAGTTGGATAACTCAGTATTAACTCCTGGTGAATTAGCCAATGTTTCTGTTCGTGCTGATGGCTTAACTGAAGTCAAAACATTTGACATTGCAGAGGATCAGCTCTCAAGATTAGTTCAAATCACTGTGTCATCAGATGATGCTGAAATGGAATGTGTCTTGGTGGTGTCACAAAGCTGTTTTGCAACGCAAAGTGAAGGACTTGCTGAGAAGAGCTCTGATGATGAAAAACAAGCAATTCAACTCACCTTTACAGAGTCTGGACGCATCACTTTGTCACAGTATTCAAGACCCAAAATTATGACAGGACGTTGGTATATTGGACTGCGCAGCTCCCTTACTAAGAAAAATAGTGACCAACAGAAGATGGTGACAGTATCTGTGACTCAAGGATATAAATATGACACCCTTGGAAAAGCCCGTCCTGCTGCATATATGTGCATTGTTGCTATACTTGGTGGTCTTGCCATCAGCATTTTTGCTCATTTCTTTCTTAACTCTGACTTTGATAAGTGCAAGGTTCCTTTTCAATTGGAAAATACTGCTGCTGAAGGGAGAGCAAGGACTCCGACTAAGGGGATCTTAGAACATGCGCCTGAGCCAATACCATGGAGGACTATCCCTCTGAAGCGATGGATGGAAATTATCTGCATAGCATGGTTTAAACAAGGTGTAAAAACATATCCCTACTTGACTGGAGTTCTTGCCATCAGTTTCATGGTTGGCTCTGCCCAGT